CCTGCCACTGTTGCCAGCTGCAGCGCTGAGGCTGAGGCTGAGGCTGAGGCTGAGGCAGTGGCAAGAGGCGGCAAAGCAGGAGACACCTCCTTCTCTCCTCCCCCCGGGGCTCCTCCCTCTACCCATGAAGGGCGAAAGACGCACTTGGGGAGGGAAGGGGCATGAAGGAGGAGGGAACACACATGCCAGCAACGGCTGTCCCACCTGCCTATGTGGCGGTAATGGCCACGCTCCCTAGGACAGCAGCCTCACTTTGGGGAGTGTGGGGATGAGGAGGGGGCAAAGGGGTGATTGGTGAGGGCATGGTTGGTGTCATGGGGCAGGAGGGTGTTGGCATGGGCTGTAGGGGTAGGATGTTAAAGTGTCAAAGGGCAGGGGCATAGGGATGGGGGGGAAGTCAAAGGGTGTAATGCACTGGGAAGCAAGGGTCTGGGTGGGGGCTAGGTGGACCGGTAATATTTTATTTGTATATTCGCAAATAAATGAAGATGCAGATAAAATGTTCCCAGTCTGTCAAACATTTGTGAATGGGATTGCTGATCACTGGCATAAAAAACTTTGGGAATCACTGATCTAGACAGTGCTTAGTCCTACTGTGAGGATTCAATGGCCTTTCGAGGTCCCTTCCAGTCCTTTTATGATTCTATGCTTTTATGATTCATGTAGAAAGATGCCTTTTGCACTCCACAATAAACTCAAGGTTGAGCTTTCAAGGAGGGAAGCAATACATGTAATACAAAAAAAAAAAAAAAACCTAAGGAGAAATCTGAATGAACGAGTTCCCTAGTCATTGTTGAGAAAAATAATGGCCTACCACACATATGTTGAAATCATAGAGACCTCAATAAAGCTACAGAGAAGAGATTGTGGATTAATTTACAAATGCACAGTGTTTCAGACAGTAAATTGGATACTCCTCAGGATTTTGGGAGCTCAAATAAGAAGGTGCATGTCCACACAGCAAGCCCGTTATTTCAAAATTATTTCAAAATAATAACCCCTGAATTTACAAGGAATAAGGCCTATTTCCAAATTGCTATTTTGAAATAGCAGTAGTGTGGATGCTCCACTGCTATTTCGAAGTAACTAGTCCCCAGAGTCATTCAAAGTATGCACGCTTATTTTGAAATAATCTATTCCAGAAGAAGTACTCTGAAATAGCTTATTTCGAAATAGCACGTCTACACTACAGCAAGGCCTCAAAATGAGTCCAAAGAAGGATCCCCTCATGTGGATGCATTACCTCAGTTTAGAGCCCCAGGAGGCACTGGTGATGAATTACTTTGAATGGCCCTTGGAAGGAGCTATTTTGAAATAGCAGCAGTGGAGCATCCATACTACTGCTGTTCCAAAATAGCTATTGCAGAAGAGGCGTTATTCCTCATGGAATGAAGTTTACAGAAGTCAGAATAAGCCACCTGTTATTTCAAATTTATTTCAAAATAACAGAATTTCTGTGTAGATGCTCACATTGTTATTTTGGAATACCTGTGCTGTGTAGACACACCCCAACTCCCATTAAAATCTAGGGGTAGAGGCTAACTGAATGAGTGCCACTTTGCTACACCCATGACTACATTACTCTGCCTGAATAGTTGTGTTATTGTGTAGCTGCAAAAACTAGGAGTCTGGTGGCACTTTGGGGCTTTGGAAATGTCACCCAAGGGAATTAGCTGTGTGGGCTGCTTCCTATTATTCAGTAATAGAAATGTAGCCATGTTAGTCTGGTGTAGCTGAAGCAAAATACAGGACTATGTAGCACTTTAAAGACTAACAAGATGGTTTATTAGATGATGAGCTTTCGTGGGCCAGACCCACTTCCTCAGATCAACTTCTGAAGAAGTGGGTCTGGCCCACGAAAGCTCATCATCTAATAAACCATCTTGTTAGTCTTTAAAGTGCTACATAGTCCTGTATTTTGCTTCAGCTACACCAGACTAACATGGCTACATTTCTATTACTGAATAATAGGAAGCAGCCCACACAGCTAATTCCCTTGGGTGACATTTCCAAAGCCCCAAAGTGCCACCAGACTCCTAGTTTTTGCAGCTACACAATAACACAACTCCCCTTCTGTTACTCCTCATTGGCTAGGAACTGTTTCAATATTAGCAGCTTTGTCTCACATAGGTTTCTATTACCTCCCCCAGCACTCGGCCTGATTTCTCACACTTGCTGTCCGGTCACTCTGTTGTGAATTGAGCTCTGAGCAACTGCTACTTCCAGGAAATGCTGCTGTGCTTCTCAGGAGAGAGGTTCCCATGGGGCCTCTCTCGGGGCAGCCTCCTAGGGGGAAGCCACAGTGAAAGCGCTGTGGTGGAGCCCGGCGAGGTTACAGGAAAAGGGGTTAGACTGAATCTCATCATCTTGATCAGCCAAATAAAGAACTAGCAGCGATGTTACGGCAACAGCTGCAAGCATTCAGCTGTCAGGAAATGCAAAAGTTTTGGTTCCCACATTACACTGTTAGGTCCACAATTAATATACGGGAGGTGCTAAGGGGGAGGGAGAGAGCCCCTCCCACCTTAAGCTGGACCAGTGGGGAGAGAGCCCCTGCTAGCCACCAGGGACAAGCCAGCGGGGCAGGGTGCACAGTCCCCGCTGCCCTGGGCTGCTCTCCCCCACCTGGGGAGAAGCCAGTGGACACTCTCACCCACTACACTGAGCCCCTTTCCACTTCCTGCCTTGAATCCTGCACCCCCCACTCCTTTCCATGATCCCCTCTTCACTTCCCAACCCTCACTCTCAAACCCTCCAACTACTCTAGCCTCCTTCTCTGAGCTCCCTACATCCCCAGGTCTTATCCTGACTCCTGCACACCCCCCACACCGGCCCCCTGCTCTGAAGTACCCAGGCAAAGGCAAGGGTAACTTCATAAAATCATAGAACTGGAAGGAACCTCAAGAGGTCGTAAAGTCCAGTCCTTGGTAGTCCTGGCAGTACCAAGTATCCATCTAGATCATTCCTAGCAGTTGTTTGTCTAAGCTGCTCTTAAATATCTCCGTGATGGAGGTTCCACAGCATCCCTAGGTAATTTATTCCCGTGTTTAACCACCCTGACAGTTAGGAAGTTTTTCTTAATGTCCAACCTAAACCTCCCTTGCTGCAGTTTAAACCAATTGGGGTATGTCTACACTACCACCCTAGTTTGAACTAGGGTGGTTAATGTAGTCAATCGAAGTTGCAAATGAAGTCCGGGATTTAAATATCCCGGGCTTCATTTGCATCTTGCCGGGCGCCGCCATTTTTAAATCCCCGGTAGTTCGGACTCCGTGCCCGCGGCTACACGCGGAACGGAGTAGGTAGTTCGAATTAGGCTTTCCTGGAACGAGGTGTAATGGTAGTTCGAAATTAGAAAGCCTAATTTGAACTACCTACTCCGTGCCACGTGTAGCCGCGGGCACGGAGTCCGAACTACCGGGGATTTAAAAATGGCGGCGCCCGGCAAGATGCAAATGAAGCCCGGGATATTTAAATCCCGGGCTTCATTTGCAACTTCGATTGACTACATTAACCACCCTAGTTTGAACTAGGGTGGTAGTGTAGACATACCCTTGTTTCTTGTCCTCTCCTCAGAAGCCCAGAACAATTTTTCTCCCTCCTCCTTATAACACCCTTTTAGATACCTGAAAACAGTTGTTGGTGTTACACCATTGTTACTGCAGTAGCTGGCCCACTCTTGCAAGCCACTGGGAAATGCTGAGAGCGTCCCTGGCCCAACTGACTGAGCATGCTCACGAATGATCTACATCCTGAAAATCCACCTCTTGAGTCATACATGTGTCAGCATAATCTCCTTTTCAGGTAAGTGCAGAGGGCTCATGTCTGCTGCCTGCCCTGCAGCAAAGCTCCCACTGAACCATGCATCAGGCCCTAACTTTTCCCTTCTGTTTTTAAAAGTGATTCTCCTCTATGTTCACAAAGGGGTTCTTACTAACTAAGGGCAATTCAGCCTGGTTACACCCGAGGCTCAGTACAGTGCTGGGCTTTGGAATCAAATTCTTGGAGCATTACTGATGGGTGAGTCGCTGCCAGGGCTTGAACCCATTACTTTTTCCCCATGGGTGCACCAGCAAAGCCATCATGTGTGGGAAAATCCATGTTGAGTCTCATGGGGTGAACGGCAGTAAGCGTCTCACTGTTCTTAGTCTGAGTGGGGGAAGTAGGCCGCGGTCCGTCTAGGCCAGCAGCAGCATGGGTCACCTGAGAAGAGAGCAACTGAAGCGATTGAAACCTTAAAGGTGTGGAAATGGCCTGTCCGTGGAGAGCTCCCACCACAGCCACCCAGACCAGAGAGGGGTTCAGAGACTGCTCATCCACCTTCCAAGTGGTTCTATGCAAGCGCAGGCTCAGAGCTCAGGCCTGCAGCGTCCCCACGGCCTCACCCCATGGAGCGGGAGAGAGGTCAGTGTGGGAAGAAGCTGTGGGTTTTTGCACCTACTGAAAGGAGCAGGGTGGAAAGGCTGCTGCTGAGCTACACTAGCCTCCAGAAGAAGAAGGAGGTGCAGAGCAGAGAGCTGACGTGCATCTAATCCCCCCATGACCGGAAGGGCAGAGGAGGGTCAGGGCTGGGCTCAGAACAGCTGCACTTTCTCCACATCGTGATACTCTGGGGAAGCCAGAGCCGGACAGAGGCTCTGCTACAGGGAGCAGAGACCACTCCAGAGTTCTCGGGCGGGGCAGCGGATGGCGAATCTCGCAGGGCTTCTCGCGCTGTGTCTCCATCTCCTCTGTGAGTAGCCTGATTCTCGGCTGTGTTGTGTGTGCGGAGCTTTGGTGAGTTTCAGCTTGTTCCCCTCTCCTTCACCCCCAGCTCCCTTAGCCCTTTGTAGGATCATCTACACCGACTTGGGACTGGAACTCCACCAGGTGCAGGGTGATAAAGGATCGGGCCCAAGTGCAATTAAACTAGAGCAGAAATGCTGGGGGAGAGAGCAGACTCGGGCCCAATTCTCCTTTACCCTAATACTCCTTTACATTGCTCTGGAATGCAAAGAGCCCATGAAGTGGGAGCAGAAAATTGCATTGAGCTAAAATCCCAATTTTCCACCGAATGGTTTTGATGGGCATTTTTCAAGCAGCCCTAAGTGCTTACATATCTGGATCACTCTCACCTTTCTTTTTATCCAATTAAATTATTTTTTAGATGACATGACAATATGATTAACTTACTGGACATTATCATGAGAAATTTGCTGCCTTTCTCTTCCTAAAAAAACAAAAACAAGCCTGAACTTTTAATTGAAAAGATCAACATGTATCAAATGTGGCTAATTCTAGATATGGTTTAATATCAACACTTCTTAAAGAATGGGGTGAAATCTCTTTTAGTGAATCTCAGTTTAATGCATAAACGTTATTTCATTTGTACTGCAGGGACATTCTACCTTGTAAAATAGAATGAAATGTTTCTTCTTGTGTTTCATTTCCTTTCCCTAAAATACATTTGCTTTTTCCCCAGCACTGAGTGTTGCCTCGCAGCAATGGCAGGATTCCAGATGCACCTCTTCTGGTGAGTGAAAGCAGCTGCAGAAGTAAAACCAACGAAGGAAACTACATTGACCTCAATGACATTTCTCTAGCGTGAGAGTAATATTTGACTAAGGGGCAGGTAATCTCCAGATACTGCAGTGATCTCTATGAAGTTCATGGGGTCCCATTAATGTCAGTGGACCCCACATGGGTGCAGAAGGCTGCCCCTGTATAGCTCATTGCAGGATCAGGAACTAAAGCAACAACAGAAGATTGCATTTCCTAAAGAATCTAACAGCCTGATCTGTAGTTTGTGATATTGGACATAGGACTGGAAAGATCCTTTTGGGTCACAGAACCCAGCCCCTTCCCCGCTATCAGAGGAAAACCCATTAAAGGGACCTTGGGTGGTTGTCTGGCTCCCTCAGTTTGCAGTCTGAAGGCAATTTAAGTGCTTTGAGCTCCTGTGACAATCTCAGTCTAAAATGTTCTCTCTGACAATTAGTCTATTAATTCTAGCTGGGTCTGATCCTGCACTCACTCATGCCAGTGGGCTCTTGGTTATGTGAGAAAGAACCATGTAAGCAGGAAGAGTCACTGAGTTTTTCTTTTTCCAGGCCCACTCCCTGCTGCTGAGATGTTTCTGGGAACGACCTCTGCTAAGGAGGGGGACACTGTTAGCGGGAGATGCTTCATCCCTACCGGAGCCTCTGTCACCATTATTTTCTTTTGCAAAGATGGGCTGGAAATTTCAAGGCTGCAAGCCAGGAGGGGAAAATTCTCTTATGATTTAGCTTACAGAGTAACTGGCAGCTCAGGCAATATTTCCTGTGGATACATTTACAGAAATGACGATGACCAGGTGTCACATTCTCAGCAAAGTGTCACTCAATACTTGAAGGTTAAAGGTAAGAAGGCAGTGCTAATTACTTGAAGGATAAAACATTGCACTCATTTGTTATCAGAATTTAAAATGGTTTCAGCCACAAAACTGTGAATTGAATACTTTTCAGTTCTTTCAAAATTTCCCTTGAAACTTCTCCAGGGTTTTTTTTTTCAAAAACAAATAGAAATCAAATATTTTGTGGGTCACGTTTCTGGGTTTCCGTATCATTTTTTACCAAACAAGATCCATTTTTACCAAAGCTCAAACATGATTGCTCAAATATTCATTGGAGAACAAAGAAATAATTTGCTTCTGTTTTTTCAATTTTTAGTTTGTTCACAAAGGCATTTTTATAAAGAAAAACTTTTCTCAGGGAAAAAATATGTGAGCAGCTCAAACAGGTAGCAAATGTGGCAGGTTAGGGAAAGCCTTTGGTAACATGGAGACTGGTAAGCAATCAGTCTGCCCCCAGAGTGGTGAAGTCTTTCGGTGAACAGGCCACTTATTATCATGTGTGGTTTTGAAATGACTCTCCTCAACCAAGAGGGCAGTTTCCCCTGTTGCCCTGAGCCCTGTGGGAAATCCAGCGTAACGTTAATAGGGCCTGAGGTGACAGAACGTTTCTTCAGTTCCTCTGTCTCATCTGGAAACACTCCCACTGAGATAAGAAGAGGGTTAAGGGGCTGGCTCAGCATTTCCAAAGAGGGTCACTCATAGGAACATGGGGGTGCACAGGACGGGAAGGAGGCTTCTTCCTTAGCAAATCCAGCTCTTGCTATTGCAGGTGCCCCCATCTTATTGTCTCCTCCATGAGCTTATCAAGCTCTGTCTTCAAACCAGCTACTGTGTTTGCTTCCCCTTTACCCCACCCCCCCACACACACACACACTCACTGAGAAGCTCCCTCCTCTGATGTTTAGAAACCATCTCCACATTCCCAGCCTGAATTTGTTCTTGGCCCCTTTATCTCCATTTGTTCTCATGCCAACCATTTTCTGTGTTTGCACTATCTGCCCAGGTGCCAGTCCTAGGAGCAGCCCGACCGAGAATTCACCTCTTCTAGGTAACAGATTTATATTTGCTATGATGCATTCGGTAATGTCTGTGGGCTAAGGGGCAGAAGCTTGTTCTGGGGCTGTCGACATTACAAAGGTCTGTCGGCACAGCCACCTCAGCTAGGAAAGCAAAAAATTCACACAGCCCAGTCGATATTGTTATGCTGGTAAACCCTGGTGTAGATGCAACTACATCCACAAAAGCATGCTCGTGTCAGGCTGTCTTTCCAGGAAGTGGTGTAACTACACCAGGAGAAGAATGGCTTCTGTCAGCATTTAGTGCATTGTTAGCTACGTGGGTCCCTGAATATTAGAAAGACAAGGAGAGCAAGGTAATAGCCTTTATTGGGCCAATTTCTGTTGCTGAGAGAGACCTTGGTGTCTGCAAAGCTTGTCTTCCTCTCAACAGCAGCTGGTCGTATTAAATATATTACTTCTCCCACCTTGTTATTCTGTCACCCTGTATCCCCCCCCGGAATTCCTGCCAGCATAGCTGTGCCGGCCTAGGCTCTGCAATGCAGCTAGGTCCTGTGTGGCATGTTTCTTTCTCTTCACTTACTTTTCACTTTCTTGAATATTAAAAGGAGGGTTTTCCCTATATGTCACTTAATAAGCCCCATTTGGATGATCTGGTGCATAGTGGGTTGTCACCCTAAGTCAGAACAGATGTTGTGTCTGACTTCATCCTGGCAAGAACCCTTGACGTAGGGTCATTGTCCCCATTTTACAGACAGGAATGTGAGGCCCAAAGTACATTCTGTGACTTTCACAAGGTCACAGAGAAAGCTTTTGTCTGGCTGAGGTTAACCCTGGTCTCGGCTGCCCCATCCACTGGTTACCCTCAGGACCAACCTACCCTCCCTGGGTATGTCTACACTACCCCGCTAGTTCGTGGAACGAGGTGTACCGGTAGTTCGGAATAGTAATCCTAGTCCGAACTACCTAGTTCGAGCCCCGTGTAGCCGTGCTACATGGGGTTCGAACCAGCAGGGATTTAAAAATGGCGGCTCCCCGCTTATGCAAATGAAGCCCGGGAAATTCAAATCCCGGGCTTCATTTGCAAGTGCGGTATGCCTACATTACCCCGCTAGTTCGAACTAGGAGGGTAGTGTAGACATACCCCCTCTTATGTAAGTCCAGAAGGAACCATTGTGATCATCTCCTCTTACCTTCTGTGTAATACCAGCCATAGGACCTCTTTGAATGAATTGCTCTTTGTACTGGAGCTAATCTTATAGGAAAGCGTCCCATCTTAATCTAAAAATTGCTGGTGATGGTCCATCAACCATGACCCTTGGCAAACAGTTCTAGTGATAATGAACCTTTCTGTTAAAAATGTGCACCTCTTGATCAAGTTTTCCCAGGACTACCTCTCCCCTGTTTTCTAACGGTGTGCTACACAGCAGGGTTTAACTAGAAATAAGCTACACAAATTGAGCTATGTCAATTGTGTAGCTTATTTTAAAATAGGGAGCGTCTACACAGCACATATTTGGAAATAGAGCTCTCTTCCTCTGACTTCCCTTACTCCTTGTACAATGAGGGTCACAGGAGTTGGAGTAAGAAGTCCTCTAGCTTGATGGTATTTTGATACTATTTCGAAATAACTGCCTGCTGTGTAGACACAAACTGAGTTATTTCAGAATAGCACTAGTTATTTCAGAAAAGTGTTGCAGTGTAGACCTACCTTAATGCACTGTGACTATCCATGGTTTTTTTCATTTTCTAGAACAGGAAAACATCACAATCTTGATAATTACAGTTTCTGCTTCGGTGGGTGTGGTTTTGTTCCTTCTTGTGCCCCTGGTGTATTATCTTAAAAAGAAGAAAGGTATGTATATATGGAGAGCTCACATTGTTCACAAAGGAACAGGTATAAATGAAAAATTACCACCTCACATGGGGAACCTGATGAGAATAACATTTAAATAATTGCTGTATAGAAAATCTGAACCTGACATGTGAACTCATGTGAAGATGAATAGGGGAAAATGGGTGTAAAACATGAGGTCTGAACTTAGAATCATGGGCCTGGAAAGGACCTCAGAGATCATCTAGCCAGGACTTTGGAAATCTGGCTGATATTTGTCTAATCTGTCCTCAAAATACTCCTATAAAGGGGTTTCCACTCCTTACCTACTACTTAACCTTAGACCTCCCTTGCTGCAAATTAAGATAATTACTTTATGTCCTACCTTGAAGGACATGGAGAACAATTGATCACCCCTTCATCATAACTTGCGCCTACAGTTTTGGTTTGAGATGTATTTTCTGAGTCTGATTTGGATTTGACTTGACATGGAAAAAATCTTGCAAGAACAGCTGATTTTATGAGATCTGCATGATCTGAGACCAAAACTATATGACTCACAGCTTGTTGGATTTGATCACTGATTCTGAGGGTATCTCTACACAGTCGCATGAAGCTGGAAATAAGCAACGCAATTTGAGCTATGCAAATTACATAGCTTATTTTGAGATAGCCTATTTTGAAATATAGTGCTGTCTACACCGTGATAAATTTTGAAATGGAGCACTGTTCTGACGTCATCTTTATTCCTCATGAAATGAGGTTTACAGGAAGCTGTATGACCGTTATTTCAAATATATTTCAAAATAACGGGTTTCTTGTGTAGACAGCGCAGAATGCAATTTCAGGATAATGGACATTATCCTGAAATAGCACCACTATTTTGAATTTGAAAGCTGATTACTATTTTTCAAATTTCAAAATTTGGATTAAAATCTACATTTTGGCATTTGAAACATAAACTAGAAAACATTCACCAATCATTTTTCTTGATTTTAAAATTTTATTGCCAGATCAACTTATAGGAAATTCAAAGTTTTATATTTAACAAAAGACCCAAAGACAAAGTCTAAAAGTGAATTTTGCTCCATTTTTGTATCAGCTCTGACGAACACTGTACTTTTGCATAGCTCTAACCCCTAACCTAAATCATGGCTAGAGATAAGGTGTTTTTCTCTAAAACTTTTTTCCTATTTTTCCAGTTGTAATTAAAAAGAAACAAGAAAGGTAAGCATGGGGGCAATCCATCACCTCTCATGTCACAGACAGAGCAAGATTACTCTCACGCAATATGTCACCTTCTTGGCTGTGTTTAAACTACACCCCTCTGCCAACAGAGGGATGTAGATTAGGCACTTCAAAAGTGCAAATGAGCCCTGGATTTCAATATCCCAGGCTTCATTTGCATACTCACGTTGGGGTGCTGTGCCAATCAAGCACCCTTTCAAAAGTGAAAGTAAAGTCTACCCGCGGTTCTGCCATGGTTCTGCTTACAGCGGGGAGCTTTTTTGTCAGATCCTATACTCCTCAAAAAATGATGAATATATTGCTGAGATAGGGACTACTTAAGGGTATCTAAACTACGCTAGACTTCTGAAAGAGGATATGCAAATTCCCATGGAATTTCGAGCTCACTTTCAAAAGCACACTTTCAAGTGAAAGTAATGAAGGTGCTTTTCCTTAAAAAATGAGGTTTATGCGGCTTGTCAACCAACGGGAGGGTTCACCAACAAAACTGCATCTTCATTACTTTCACTTTTGAAAGTGAACTCAAGAGAAGATATGGAAATTCCCGCAGAATTTGCATATCCTCTTTCAAAAGTCTAGTGTAGTCTAGATACACCCTTTGTGTGGCTCAGGTGTGAATAGAGTTTTGGCTTCCAACCCTCCACCACCTCTTTGTTCAGGCTACATGAATTTCAGGATTTTGATCCAGGCCTAGCTCTTATTTATAGCAGGCCTCAGCCCGTGGGCTGGATTCGGCCCACCAAGCAGGCTCCCCAACTTTCCCGGCAGCCCCTCAGGCCCATGCATTGTGCAGAAACACAGCTGCAGGGCTCTGTTTTTGTTTTGAAACTGGAGAGGAGGGGGGAAGTTTTAGGAGTCACCCCACTTCCAGCACAATCCCATTGGCCAGTTTCTGCCATAAATCAGCCAATGGGAACGGCTTGCTAGAATAACAGGCAGCTAGAAAAATCACACCCCTTTCCCTGGATTCAAATATTCATGAAGCACATGGCCAGGCAGGCAGGCTGTCTGTCTGGGAAATATTTTAAGCTACGCAGGCAGGCAGATTATTTTGACAGCTGACAAGTAAGTCTCTTGGCCACAGCCTGCTTCTGGACCCCAGCCCTCTCCTGCCTCAACTATCCCCCCCCAACATATCCAAACCCTGTGTAGCCCTATTTCACCCATACCCCTCCCAGATCTGACACCCCAATCTCCTTCCCCAGATCTCAATCTCCTCCTACCCTAGGTCATATCCTACATCCTGTCCTCCTGAATCTATTCCCCTGCCCTAGGTCACAACCACCTGCTTCATCCCAACTCCCTCCCAGACTCCAGTCTTTCTCCTGCACCCTAATCCCTTACTTCAAGCTCCCTTCTGTACCCAGCCTCCATTCCACACCCCGCATCTCCATTAATATTATGAAAGATCCAATATCCTGGAGTGCGCCTCTCCCCAGCAGAAATTATTGCCCACCCCTGTTTTAGACCATACATTTGACTCATCTCCCAGGTTCACTTTTGAAACTTTTCTTTTGCTTTTTTAGGTTGCAAAGCCTCCGTGTGAAGAGCAATAAGGTCACTGAAGATGAGTATTCCGGTATGGAAATCAGACACATTAATCGCTTATTGATCTGAGCAACAGATGCATTTGCTGTTTGGTTTTTGGAGGAAAGGGGAGTTTTGTGAAGTGTGAGTAGTAATTCAGTGGCCAGGATCTGTGAAAAGTCAGTTAAGAGCATGTATAAGAATAGCCATTGGAATTATTTTTCATCTTCAACAATTTTTTTAACTACCAATGGTTCTGTCCGCAAAGGCACCCAATTTACCAGCACGGTATCTAATGCCTGATTAGGAAACATGACATCCTATTTTGCTCTCTATTAGCACCTTAGTGGAGGAACCATGAATAATCCCAAGACTCTTGACTCTGACTGTAGTGAGTAGTTGTTTGGACCACACTGGCATTTTAAATCTACATTGATTATAACAGATTTCAGAAGCAGATCTACCTGAATATGCATCTAGCACAAATCAGGTCCTCCTCCAATTATCTATCATAACAAGTTAATTTCAGTAATCAACTATGAGTTTAAATATTTTAAAAAAATCTTTTTGGGGCTATACCGTGCCTATAGGCCAGGTCTATACTACATGAGAGAATCAACGTTAAAATATGCAACTTCTGCTACGAGAATAGGGTAGCTGTAGTCGACGTACCTTAAGTCAAAATTCTGCAGCATCCCCTGCAGGAAGTCAGCAGACGAAACTCTCCCATCGACTTCCCTTACTCCTTGTGACTCCAAGGAGTACTGGGGTCAATGGGAGCACCATCAGCAATAGATTTAGTGGGTCTTTATTAGACCCACTAAATCAAACCCCAGAAGATTGATCTCTAGAGCATCGATCTCAGGCCAAGTGTAAACCTGGCCTTATATTTGCTGACACTCCAGTTAAATCTATATTGTAAGGTCACAAATACACTTTTTACATTCCTGGGAGAAAAATCTTATCGGAAACAATGTTAACAACAACTATTATAGATGTGACCTCTTTTTTACAGATAACAATTTTGGAGAGTCCCATGGCTTGGTAAGTGATTATGATGTGGTGTTAAGCTATAACATATACTGTGAGTCTGACGTATTACATAGCAATAAATTTCCTGTTTAAATGTATTTTCTTTAACACATTCCTAATAAATTATTGTTTCTACTATGGTAAAACTTCATGGTCCCAACTGTGATCAGAGCTTTTAGGGACTGTACAGGTACATAATTACAGATAGTGAGTTTGTGAAACAGATTTTTATTTGAGAAAGTATACTCCAAATTAAAACGGTAAAAAATGCTCAAAATTGAAACAAAGTGTTTCAACTGTATCAAAAGAGAACATTTTGATTGATTCAAAACAATTTTTCCCAGAATTGTGTGTGTCAACAAAGTTCAACATTTTGTATTTTCATCTTGATCCCAAATGAAAAAAAAATGAATTCTCAAAATGTTTCAAAGGATAGAAAACCTGTTTTCTGGCCAGATCTTTTTACCAGTAAGATTTTCACCACTGAGGTGCCCAGTTCCATTGGGATCGTATGTGGTCAGGGGAATTAATCAGTTTACTACTATATGTCTTACTATTTAGATATGTACAAATGATCTTATTGTAATAACATGAAAATAGCACCCTACTTTAACCCGCATAAGCGGTCAATTAATATATTAATATATTATCGGGATTTCCATGTCTAATACAAAAAGTATTAACATTGATCTGTCTATTTGGTGGCCAATATTTCATAGATGGAAATGTTAACTTACTAAAGAATAGACCGACAGGGTCATCTCATTGATGACTTTTTCAAACATTTGGAGACAACAGATTAGTAATGGATGAATTCCCTCCATGCCAGTAACTAATTCTTATCCACAGAGATATTTTCACTTACGCTCTATGGCAGGACTTTATGCCATTTTAAGCCAGAAAGGGACACTCTGTATAGAGAAGCATCACCTTCCATGCTGAATTTAGCTGGATTCTCCAAACGATTGGCTGTTTGTCTGTATAATGAGGACCTCTAGAATCATAGTCGTCAGGTTTACAAATCCCCAAGACTTATGGAAGGAACAAAGCTGCCTGCTTCTGAGAACTGACCATCCTGGAACAATTGGAGATGAGGAGAGACTTTCCTTATGGGCAGATTATTTCCTACCATCCTCCTGCAGGATTTCATTACTGGTTGAATCTCTCTAGTCCGGCACTTTCTGGTCTGACAACATCTGTGGTCGAGCATGATTTTAGTCAGCCAAATGTCCACTTTTTATGGGTGTGGCCAAGTTTCCTGCAGTTCCATAAATTTGTTTACTGCCCCCAGTTCTGGCTCTCAGTGTTCTGTGCTGTTATTTAGCTCTAATTTAACCCTAAATGTCTTCTAAGAGTCCAGTGAGCAGTGGAAGTGCTGATAATGCTGCTAGACCATATTGACCTCCCATGGTCTGGCAAATACTCTGGTTCAGCATAAGTCAGGTCCCAAGGGTGCTGGACTAGAGAGGTTGATTATTATTATTATTATTATTATATAATATTTTGACAATATTATCAAGAGGCTTCATTTCAATAGGTCAAAAAATTGTTTCAACATCAAGATTTCAACTTTGATGTTAGAATAGCTTTGTCTAAACATTTAGACATTTACGTTATATTGTAATTGTAACCCTTCTACCAGGTAGTGCCGGCAGCAGCCAGGGCCAGGTTCAATATCTAGGGATCCCTTTTCATCTATCTCACACAGAACCGGCTTGAGCCCCTACCCAGTAGCCTGGGAAATTCACACACTCCTGGGTGCCTCTGAGAGGAAATGCTTCCCCACTTGTAGGGACACAGTCTGAGTGTAGAAAAGAAACTTTTTAATGAAAGAGAGAGAGAAGTCACATGGCATTCATTTGGGCAAATACCATAAACATAGTTCATAGCCCCCCATGAGTAACTGTCCCAGCTCAAATGGATTGAGCAATGTCCTTTGCCTTTCAGGCTCACTAGTCTAACAGTATAAGGGTCCCATTCACCTACCCAAACTTTCTCCATACCCCATTTCAAATGCCCCACTTACAGCTCTGTCCACTCAGTGCGGACTTAGACACATCACCCTGATGACTCATTGGCTATGTCTACACTGCAGGCTTTTTGTGCAAAAACAGCCATTCTTGTGCAAAAAATTGCAGAGCGTCCACATTGCACGCATGTTCTTATGCAAGTAAATTTACAGTTAAGCATCAGAAAAGAGGGTTTATTGGGCAAGAATTATTCCTCTCCCCACGTGGAATAAGCCCTTTTGCATAAGAGCTCTTGCATAAGACAGCAGTGTGGATGGGCAATAGGTGTTTCTCTTGCACAAAATCACATGGCAGGTAGACATGCTCTTGCACAAGACCTTTTGCACAAGAACACTTGCGCAAAACAGTTCTTGCACAAGAAACCTGCAATGTAAACATAGCCACTGAACCTGAGGCCATGCCATCTTTGTACTGCTCCTGTGGTCCGCTTGCTCCGCCAGCTGCCCTGCTGACCGCCTGCCAGTCACTTCTGCCCGCCATTCATACCAGCCACCCACCAGTTGCTTCTGCCAGCTGCCCTGCTAGCCGGCCGCTTTCACCAGCCACCCACCTGCTAGTTGCAATAAGTCTGGCTCTAGGACAAACCAGTAACTTCAGCTCCTGGTGATTTCATCTCTTAGCCACCACCTAGCCTAGCCAAAAGATTCCAGCTTCCACTGGAATAACAGAGAGATTCCTTATGGAGTCTGGTTTAGATCTATCCTTAGAACAGAGAAAAGAAAGTAGGAGGGAGAGAAAACAGGTTGAATCAATCTTATAGCTCACACCTAGCAGGCATGATGCAGATTGGCTCAAGCCACTACCCCCAATTCAGTTCACTCTGCTCTGGAAGGGGGAGGTTTGTTCATCTGAGACCTCCTACAACGATGGTGTCTCTCCTGCAAGTACTGGTGTCATATTTTACAGTTGCTTCATTTAGGGGTAGCATGATTTGCGACTCCACAACTGCAAAATTAGTTACAATACACCGCAGTCCATTCTTACAACAGATCCTCCATAAGCCCTGGCTGAATTGGATTTAAATAACCACACCCTGGTTTCCTTCCCACTTATCTTGCAGGGCTAAACAACTTGGCTGTGTCTACATTGGCACCCTTTTCCGGAAAAGGGATGCTAATGAGACAAGTCGGAATTGCAAATGCTGCGGGGGATTTAAATATCCCCCGTGGAATTTGCATGAACATGGCTGCCGCTTTTTTTCAGCTCGGGGGTTTGCCGGAGAAAAACGCCCGTCTAGACGGGATCTTTAGGAAAATAAAGCCTTTTCCAGAAGTTCCCTTATTCCTCTTAACATCAGGAATAAGGGATCTTCCAGAAAAGGGTGCCAATGTAGACCTAGCCCTTGAGTAATTATATCCACACCCCAGGGCTTCTCTCTCCTTTTATCTGGCTGATTGCAAGCCATAGTTCAGCCCCTGTTTACATAATAAATATGAGAGAGAATATGATAAAATTACCATGAATCATTCTTGCCTTTCATAAGAGAAATGCCTTGATAAGACATTTTAATATTTCTGGAATGAAAAATTTCAGATACTAAATTGAAATGTGTCTTGATAAATGTTGCCATTTTGACTTTTCATTGCAAAAAGAAATTTCAAAATGTCTCAATTTCCCAAAGAGCATCAATTCAGTGATGCATTCATGCCTAGAAGCTCCAGGCATTGATCAGGGTCCTATTGTTATAGCCATTGTACCCACACATGACAAACAGATGGCTCTTGACCTGAGGAGCTTATAATATAAGGTCTCTATCCTGCTAGTTCTTACATACACCTGCTTATCTTTACACCCTGTGAGTAGCCCCGTTGTTGTAATTGGAGATACTTGCAGTAGTTAAAGAGTGCCAGGGGTGAAAGTAAACAGATGTACCCTGGTACACAGCTCTGGTGAGAGCTAGCTGAGCTGTGGCAAAAGCCAGCAGGGAGCTACTGAAAGAGCTAGCAGGGACTGGGGTTGCAATAGGACAGTTCCTGTGAGAAATTTTACTTTCACCGCTGAACAATGCATTCATGCTTGTACACAGCTGGTCTTTGTAATATCCATTTTCCTCTCAGGTGCCTGGTTATGGGGTCAGATTTGACTAATTGTAAAGTACATCAGGGAGGGGTGGTTGGGACTGAGGAGCTATTATTTGTATAGTACTCAGATTTCAAGTGAAAGTCATGATGCAGTTTTGCCATTGACTTCAGTGAAGCCAGTATTTCACTCCGTGTAATCAATTAACTAAATCCCCCGACATTTAATAATGGGGATGGATGTTTGATCAAGGTTACATGACCGTGCTTCTAAATCAGCTTTCTGACAGCATTTCAGCCTGAAAATGGCACTTTTTTCATCCAATTTAACATGCCCCCATTTATTTAAAGGACAAAGAAGCCCCAGATCCAATCTATCAAAATCTGGACATAGAGGATGTGCCTCGTTCTTCTCATCGCTCTGAACAGAAGTACAAGTCTGCCTTTCACCTATATGAGAACAGTAAGTGATGCACCCAACTCAAGAAACAGAGTGGCTGTGTCTAGACTGCATCTCTTTTTCGTAAAAGGGATGCAAATTAGACATATCGCAATTGCAAATGAAGTGGGGATTTAAATCTCCCCCGCTTCATTAGCATAAAAATGGCTGCCGCTTTTTTCCAGCTCGGAGCTTTGCCGGAAAAAAGCGCCAGTCTAGACACGGATCTTTCGGAAAATAAAGCCTTTTCCAAAAGATCCCTTAGCCCTCTTAAAATTACTAAATCCCATTCCTACTTAACTGAACTGTGCCTCCTAGGTGCTCAGAGGAAGGCAAAAATCCCACTAGGTCTCTGCTAATTTGACCCAAACATGAAGAAATATTTTTCCTGACACTTACACAGGCCACTGGTCCAACCCTCAGTACTGGAAAAATACAGCTCTGAAACTACCATTATGGGAAACACCGCGTGCCGGTGGCTGTTGAAAAGCAGCCAAAAGAAACTCCACGTGCCCCAAGATAGGGCTTAAATTAATCAAAGCCGGCAGCAAGGGACCAATCAGCTTCCCTCCATCCCCAGCTGGCCAATAGATGGACAGAGCCAGTGGGTTAAGAAGGGGCACCCCTGCATCTACCATAAATGCTCTCCTTTGCTTTCTATGGGGGTGTCCCAATCACCCCGGGCCCCATCAAGTTCTCCATCCATTGAGCTGAATGAATGGCATTGTTTCTCTCTCATTTCCGCCTGCTTGGAACCCACCTCCAGGCAAACATTGGAGGCATCAGAATCCATCTCATCCCCTATTCCCGTGTTTAGTCCAAGTCACAATTTAGCCTGTAATATTTATATACTGTCTCTGGAATACAGATTGTACAAATCATGTCTTTCTCAGCAATCTTCACTTCGATTACTGGTGTGCTTTGTTTGGGACAGGGTGAAATTCTTTGGGGGATCACTGATGTGAGATCTGCAGGTGTGTAAAAGTTTTCCATGTTTCCTTCTCATTTTCCTATAGACATGTACACACCATGAGAGGTGCAGGCTGTTGGAAGAAAAACATCTCAGCTTAGCATTTTCAAAGACTGATTTCAGTGTCTGAGAACCAGCAGAAGAGGACACTCACATAATGATGAAACATTTCAGATATCTGGAAATATGTAGAACTTTTTGATTCTGAAGAGAGAAATAAAGAGAAACATGAATTTAACCTACCTCATTTCTTAACTGAGGATGAGGCAATATGTCAATTTCAGAAAAGTTTCTTGTGTGCAAAGGGAAAATGTGAGTTTGATATAAATAGATGATGATGATGTATTATAACTCATCATTAGATTTTTGTACACGTATGCTGGGCTGTTATGTGTGAAAGAGTTCACTTTGCTATTTGATCATAGGACTCAGTATGTTCTTTTTGTTATCTTTAATCTCTATTCAACTATTAATATACATTTCCTTTTTTCAATATATGCAAAATAAAATAAAATTGAAAAAGAAAAACAAGTTTTGTGTAGTAATGTATATAGAGCTAATCAACAAATTGAGATTTTCAATAAAATAAAAAATTAGTAAATTTTGAAGCAAAACTGATTTTGTTTTGTTTGGTTTTCACCAAAACAAAAACAAAAAAAAGAGTAGTTTTTGTTGTCATTTTATTTTGTACTGAAAACACCTTAAGCTTTACAAAATGAAAAATCAGAAACTAAACCCTTTAAGGAAAGGTTATTTTTGTTGTTTTTGTTTTGTTTTCATTTTGAGGTATCATTTAATTTTGTTTTTGAGTGTTTTTCTGCCCTTGAAAAATAAATATACCGAAAGTTCAAAATCCAATAATATTTTATTTCAAAATGTTCAAAACAAACTTTTTACTTTTCTGATATAAACCTATTTTTTAGCCAAAAACTATTTGCCACATTTAATTCAAATTCACGAATAGTGTCAGTGCCCCTAAGATGATTTTTTTTCAGCTAATTTACTATCCCACTCAAAAATTTACTAGCTGCCTCACTGGCTGAGGGGCAAAATTCTGTCATGGGGCAGAAACTAGCTCAGAGACGGAAAGAATAGTAATACGTGCTCAACAGAGGAGAAGAGAGGAGGCCTAAAGGGTCAGTACTAGTCCTTCTGTTGTTTAATTTCTTTATTCATTATCCAGAAAGAAGAGTGAACAGTGAGGTTGCAGATGGCACAAAATGCCCGGTGTAAGCAAGCATGCCCATCCCTCTGCATCTTCCTCTGACAGAGACCACCCCTCATAGAATCATAGAACCATAGAGCTGGAAGAGACCTCAGGAGTCATCGAGTCCAGCCCCCTGCCCAAGGCAGGACCAATCCCAACTCAATCCTCTCAGTCTGGCCTGCTGGAGTATTCCTACAACGAAGAAAAGGGGGGAATTACCAGGCCCTTGGGGTGGGGCAGTCCGGGCTAAGAGCAGTAGCACCAGCCCAGGCTCCAGCAGGGCTGATCCCTGAAACATACCCACGAGGCCGAGGCAGAGGCGAGCTCCCAAATACATCCTATGGGGCTCAGGCATGGGTGACTGAGGAGTGCAGGGCCCCTGGCCTAAGGCGGAGGAGTACTACCAACCCAGAAGTGTGTATGGGGGGGGGCGAGGGGATTCAAGCCCACCGGACTCCAACCCAGCCCAGCCCAGGGTCTTAACAGTGACAGAATCCTCCTGCAACATGCTGACCATGTTTCCAGTGGTCCTCAAGCTGGTTCCCCTACTCTCCCCTCATGTATTTCTGTGTCCAATGGTTATCCTCAATCTCCCTGGGATACACTGCCAAAGGTAGAAGCAGCAGCTCCTAGGTGCCAGGAGTGGCAGGGCTCTCCAGAGGCTCAAGCATGTCTTCTGGGCAGCCATGGCTCCCTCAGTTTCCTACTACAGCAGCAGCCTTCTGGGTGAGACTTTTATTCTTCCTCCTCCTGCCCCACCCCTCTGATTCCAGCATGTGGGATGTGGTTTTCCTGGTTCTGCCCACTAGAAGGCTCACGGAATTCCCTCTCTGCCAGCCTCTGAAGGAGACCACAGCACCTTGCCACACCCAAGGGCTATGTCTAGACAGGCATGATTTTCCACAAATGCTTTTAACAGAAAAGTTTTCCTTAAAAGCATTTGCGGAAAAGAGCATCTAGATTGGCACGGACACTTTTCCGCAAAAGCACTTTTTGCGGAAAAGCATCCGTGCCAATCTAGATACGCTTTCACCATTTTAGCCATCGGGGCTTTTTTGCGCAAAACAGTACTGTGCTGTCTACACTGGCCCTCTTGCGCAAATGATTTGCACACGAGTGGGAGCAGCATAGTATTTGCGCAAGAACACTGACAATCTTACATTAGATCATCAGTGTTCTTGCGCAAATTCAAGCGGCCAGTGTAGATAGCTGCCAAGTTTTTCCACAAAAGCGGCTGATTTTGCGGAAAAACTTACCAGTCTAGACACAGCCAAGGTGTAGCATGGTGGGGAACCTTAGGCCTGGCTGGATGCAGCCCCTAGCTTGTCTGGACCCAGCCCCCCAGACTTAGGGCACCCCCAGCATTGGGGAACCCACCCTGGTGTTCCACCTCTCCTTTCCCCCATCCCTCTGCAGGGCTGGAGCACACAAAATCTATTAGGGTACGTCTAGACTACATGGCTCTGTCGGCCATGTAGATTTGTTTTTTTGGCAAAGGCAAATGAAGCCGCGATTTAAATGATCGTGGCTTCATTTACATTTACATGGCTGCCGCGCTGAGCCGACAAACAGCTGATCAGCTGTTTGTCGGCTCAGCGCGGCAGCCACGTAAATGTAAATGAAGCCGCGATCATTTAAATCGCGGCTTCATTTGCCTTAGCCTATGTGTCTAATTAATCTACATGCCTCTGCCGACAGAGGGATGTAGTCTAGACACAGCCTTAGCCTGGGCTCCCCTAGGTTCTGGTGTGCAAGGAGAATGTGAGGAGCATCATTCTCCTTCAGGGGGTGTGTGTGTGTGTGTGTGTGTGTGTGTGTGTGTGTGTGTGTTGTGTGGTGTGTGGTGTGTGTGTGTGTGTGTGTGTGTGTGTTGGGGGATTTTTTTGCTTCTCACTTGTGTGTGGCCTCCAAATGATTTTTCTGTGGGTCAGTGGCCCAAAAGAGGTCCCCCCCACCCAGTCTAGCTGATCCCCATGTGTGGGGTCGGGAAGGAATTTTACTTGCATTAGACACCAGGGACCTCATGGGAGAGATTGTTTGTTTGGTTTTTATCTTATGTTGTTTTTGCCTGTCTCTGCAACTTGAACTGACGGCAGCTTACTGGGATTATCTGGATACAAATTACACCTCTTGGGTCCAGCACCCTCAGGACCTGACCAGTCCCAGAGGAGGGATTTTTCCAGACCAAGGGAGGTCATACCTGGCTCCCCTACTACCAGCCTCCTAGCCCTAGACTGGCTGCTGATCTCCTGGCTGCTCCCTTCCCCTGCCAGTCCTGCTGCCCTGCCAGTCCCACCCACCTTCCCTGCTAAGCCAAGCAGACCAGTTCCCTGTGCACTGCATTCCTGGATGTACCAGGCAGCCCCTATGCAGTGCGCTGGGTTCCTGGCCCCTCTGAGCAGCCCCATTGGGCTGTACCTAGAAGCCGAGTTGTGGTGTGCCAAGCAGCCCACTTGCAGGGAACCCGGCTGCCAGCCTTCCACTGGGTCTTCCTGGTCTTGGAACATCTGTGTTGCCGGACCAGGGAGTCACAGTTAACGGAGGTTCAACCTGTATTTCTCAGCTAATCTCTTCTCAGCCATGGCAGCAGCCTAGGGCACTGCTACACCGCTAGCCTTCCTATTTCCTGCGTGTGGTACACTAGTCTCCTAGAGTATGTCTACACTACCACCCTAGTTCGAACTAGGGCGGTTAATGTAGGCATTCGAAGTTGCAAATGAAGCCCGGGATATTTAAATCCCGGGCTTCATTTGCATCTTGCCAGGCGCTGCCGTTTTTAAATCCCCACTAGTTCGGACTCCGTGCCCGCGGCTCCACGCGGCACGGAGTAGGTAGTTCGAATTAGGCTTTCTAATTCGACCTACCGTTACACCTCATTAGAAAGGTGTAATTAGAATTAGAAAGCCTAATTCAAACTACCTACTCCGTGCCGCGTGTAGCCGCGGGCACGGAGTCCGAACTAGTGGGGATTTAAAAACGGCAGCGCCTGGCAAGATGCAAATGAAGCCCGGGATATTTAAATCCCGGGCTTCATTTGCAACTTCGAATGCCTGCATTAACCACCCTAGTTCGAACTAGGGTGGTAGTGTAGACATACCCCTACAGACAGTAATACACTAGCCTGAATTTGGTAAGCAGGTTTAGTGTGCAGATGGTGGTTGGGGCTGGTGGGTGTGAGATACAGGAGCTCAGACTGGACAATCTGGTGGCCACTTCTGGCCTGGAACTCTGTGACTCTACTCAGAAAAACCAAGCCCAGGGAAGAGGGTACCGAAGTTCAGAAGGACCTATCAGAACTGAGGGAATGGGCAATGGGGTGGGAAATAAATACCATGCTGAAGTCACGCTTGGCAAAGCTGGAGGGAAAAGAAGGCAGTACAAATTGGAGAGAACAGCTGGAGCTATTTACATCCTTGCAGGGTGCAAGATTAGCTGAAACAGGAGCCCTGGGCACGGCTCAGTGAAGATGGGCACCGCTCAATGAAGACCTTGTTCAACATGCATTCACTTAAGGGAAGCAAATGCTGAGATGTGTAATTCAGATATGAGAAGAGAATGGTGAGAATGTTACAGTGTCATTATATGAACCAAAAAGATGCTCCTAGTTCGACAGCTGTGCCCCATGCTGGCAGGCCCTGGGCACAGCACCAAAGAAAGGTCCGGATCTGGTGCTGGGAGAATTTGACCCTGTTTCAGTTTCTGGTGATGAAAAGCAGTTTCTATTCTCATCCCAAGGCTGCGGCATCTCTCTCTGGCTCACACAGACAGCAAAGAAATGGAGATGCTAGAGCAAAAAGCGGCTGTGGCTTTCTGTCCGTTTTAGCGCCGAGGAACCACTCAGCTGGGAACAGCCGTCTGTCGCTTGTTTTTGTTTGCGGGTTTGACCATGGGAAGAGAAAGGGGATACAGAGCAGCAGGAGACCGCAGCTTCCCCTTAACCAAGACCAGAATGAGCAGAGTTGGGCTGGGAATGGAGAGCCAGGTTTTATAATGCCCTGGTCTTTGTGCCCTCATTTGCACCAGCACAAAGTGAGTATGTAGCATGATGTAAATAAAGCACCAGACACAGGGCAACTGCAAGTTCCCCACCTAAATCCAAGAAGCAGAAGAGAAAGGTCACTGGAGAAAGCCTCTAAGCCTCAAGGAGCAGAGCAGAACACAGCAGTGACCGGCTGTGGCTTCCCATTGGCCTCAATCCTGCAGACGAGAGGGTTGACCCACCGCACCAAGACACTTCTGCTCCGAGGCCGTGAGAAGCATCTGGCAGAGTAGAGACTGGAGAACAGAGCTAGAGCTTTGTCTAAGACCTAAGGAGATTCAGGGAAGATCCCTTTATTCTTGGGAGAGCAGAAGCTGCTGCAGAATTTACAGGCAATTGAAGGAAGGCTGATCTCCCAATGATTCTCACACTGTGCCTGGGGCTTGTCTGTGAGTACTGGGCTTTGTTTCCCTCTTAAGAAAAGTACAAGTAAAATTCTCCTGTCATAGACAGAGCACAGAGAGTTTGTCTCGGAAATTCTTGTGCGCCATTAAGGCATGAACAATGTCCTGCCCATGTTTTCTACCATGGTGGGTGCAAAAATGACTCCCTTGGATTTCGATAGCTTAAGGCTTTTACAAGAATACCTTGTTGGCTTCTTATTCAACCACCCAGGTGAAGGAGCAGTGTGTTGCTTTTCATCTGGTATTGGAAATTCTGCTAAAAATTGGGACAGTCATTTCAAATTTCAAAGGGTTTTCTGGGCCTGCTTGTAGATAGGGTGCTGTGTGGGAAATATGCAGTCTGGGCCGAAGAGCTGTCAGGTTGCAATGAGACAGTCACAGCAAGGCAGGGTGAGGCCTTTTTGCCTCAGGGAGCAGCCTGCTTTCTCTCGTTCTCTGGTTTTGGTTCTTGTCTAAGATTCTCAATTTTAAGCAATAATTTCTCCCTGTGTGTGCTGTGAAATAGGACACCTACTCTTTGACCTGTCTAACCTTCTTTCCTGTGGTTAAAGCATCTGCAGGCACCAGAACATACAAGCCTTCCTGTGGTGTCAAAGTACTTGTCCCCGTGGAGACAGTGCCTGGAATACCACAGCAAAAATTCTCCAACCTCACGCACAGTCCTAATTGCATTGGCATCTCATGGAAATTCTACCGCTATCAATCATTTTCACATAAAATGAAAAAAAAAGGTTTTTTTTCCCTTAAAATACTTGTATTTTTCTTCTCCCAAAGCTCTGAGTTTTACATCCCAGCAGCAGCTGGCCTTGAACTGCATTTCCTCAGCAGGTGAGCACTGACTTGAGTTTGCTTTGAAAGCAGGGCTGCTTCTTGTATTGGTGCCATCTTTTCTAGCCATAGTTGCACCCATGTAATTATTGAGTGGCTGAGTGGCCCAGTAACATCCACTGGCCCTGCTTCTCCATACCTGGCATTGTGGGTCATAGTTTAACTCTAAGAGAAGTTATTTTAAAAAGCCACCTTTGTGATCTGATAGAGCTTCATACCTACATTGTATTTGTGGAAATAGCTGTATAAGGTGAGCCACTGTGGATTTAAACTCTATAATTGGTTTATCCCTGAAAATCACAATGAAAAAGAAACTCAAACTTTGCAAATTTCACATTGGCAGTTGTGCAGTCTTGAACAGCTATTCTATTCCAGTCCAATCTATATAGATTACTATACCATGCTCACAGTAGTGTGAAAGCCCCTTTTCTGATCTTCACACTAATTAAACTATGCTTTTTTAAAATGACAAATGAAGTCCATGAGCTTTGCAGAGGTTTATTATTCAAGGTTCTGCATAGAATCGGGTGAATTTGTTTCAGTGAAGAGCCAATTCACTGGAGTATGGAAACTGTAATTTTGAGTTGAACTCAGTGAATACTTTTAGCTGAAATAAAAATGAAAAAAATATAAAAAGCTGAATGGTTTGTGTCGTCTTTGTATTTTGAAATAGCATTTTGTTTCAAAAGTCAGCTAGTTTAAGGAAAAAGTGGAAGAAATTGAAAAATACTTCCCTCCCCACAAAATGAAAAATGAAAAGAAAAAAGTTTCATTTGACCCAAAAGGAATTTGGGTTTTTTTGGCTGTGAGTGTGAAGGGGGGGGTTGTTTGTTAATCAAACAAACAAACTTGATTGATTGATTGATTGATTAAAAGAGAAAAAATCAGCTTCTGATCCAATTAATCTCCCCCCCCCCATATTTCAATTTGACCCCCCCAAAGCAAAAATCCTCAGGATTTCATTTCAAGCCCAGCATACTCAAGACTTTTGAAAATCAGGTCCAATGCAGGCCCCAAGTTGGGCTGAGCCCTTTCTTTTCCTCAGATGGTGGATCACGTCCCTAATAAGAAAGGGAAATCGCTCATGTTGCATGTTTTATGGTCTCTGTTTTTCCAGGGGATCTCCCTGCTCCTGAGCTATTTCTGAGCAAGTCATCCGCTTATGTGGGTGACACTCTTCTTTATCGGTGTGTCATCCCCACGGAGTCCGCCGTGAGCTTCGCTTTCCTTTGCAAGGATGGCAAAGAAATAACTAGGAAACCAGCCATGCCAGGGAAATTTTCCTTTGACTTCTCCTATCATGTGACTGAGCAGAGTTCAGGCAACTTTTCCTGTGGGTATCAACACAAAGGCCGCCATAAACAAGTGCAGAATTCAAACCTCAGCATCGCCCGCTACCTGCGTGTCACAGGTGAGGAGGCCTCCTTGTCTCAGAGGATAAAAATGCTCCTTTTGTTTAGTGTTTTGTTTAGAAGCATACAGGGGGCCTATACCTGCAACCCTTGCTCCAGCAAGTGTCTCTGTCAATGGAGACATGGCATTGAAGTGTTGGTCCATAAAAGTTTCAGAATAGAAGCAAAGAGAGTATCTGTTCCTCAGAGCAGCTCAGCATGGCTGGTGCAATACACAGAGCCCTTAATTGCCATGAGATTGAACGGGAGTGTCTGACAAAGAGTATTTCTCACTTTTCACTCAGCTACTTTGCAGGGTGGGAGGCTCAAATGTCCCCGTTCTCTAGGATCTCCTCTTTAGTAATAGCCAGTGCTGGGTGCCTCGGGGGGAAGGGATGGAAACTACAGAGTTGTTTGAATAATATTTGTTGAATGATTTTTCCAATGGTTGTATTTTGCTTTTTTTTTTTTTTTTTAAATACCCACTAGGATTTCTTCTGGCTGAGGCATGGTTCTGTGTTTAAGGCAATGGCCATGTAGATTCAAGCCATGTAGGTTCAAATTGCCCCTCAATAATTGATTGTAATCATGAAAATTTAAATTCATAAAAATAGAAATGAAAACTGAACACCCATCATGTTGTACAACTGTGAAAATTTAAATTGGTAAGAACAAAAAAAGCTTCAAAATAAATGTGAATATTGTCTGATAAAATTATAAACTATACAAAGCCTGTGCTGCCATGCTTAACTCTGAGGGACCCTTCACATTTCAAAACAATGGTATGAGACCCTCTTCTCCAGCAAGGGAAAGAAGAGACTGCCTTAATGTTAGCAAATCTAAGGGGAAACCTGCTTTTGCTTTAACATTTCCTGCTCTTGTAATTTTTACACAGAGAAATCCACCAATTCCAGCAGCCAGGATCCAGAGACGACCTCTTCCCATGGTAAAACATCTGATTCACTCATGAATTAGGAGATTTCTCCAGTACCCTTTTCCTATCGCTCAGCTCCCTTCTTGAAGACCCGATACAGGACGTCTTCACCTGTGTTCCACTGAACAGCCTCCATCCAGTTAACACTATTCCCACAGTGAGGCTGTTCGTTCCTTAGCAGGATACACCTCAAGGGAGAGCAGACGGTGTTTCTCCGACTCCCAGCTTCTACCAGGGTGCTCCATGGCTCTTCTGCCTGCAGGAGCCCGGAGGGGAAGGCTGAGTCAGAGCTTTCTTGGGTCACTCTGAAACAGAATAAAGAACCTTGAGGCCAATTTGTGCTGCCTTGTCCCAAGCAGAGCTTCCAATGCTAAGATCCTCTGCAGGATCTGAGCCGGCACAGAAGTAGGCCCAGAATATACATAGATAAACTTCCAGATAAGAGACACCTGGACAACACTGCACTGACTTGGTGATGTCCACTCAACAAGGGCAGGCAAAGCATTCCTACACCCAAGACATTCACACACGGGTCACCAGCTTCTGAACTCTCCTTAGACCTCCCAGCTAACATTGCCAGGTAACAATGAAAACATCCACTTCTGCTAAGTGTCTGTTAGCATCAGGCCCAGACATAGTAGCAGTTCTCACTAGGGTTATCTCCTTGATTTGTGCAGACTAAGTTGAAAACAACAGTAAGTCACTGTCCTTCTAGTACTATTGATGGAAAGGTCAGATTGGTTTTCTCAACCCAGCCGTCTGTAAATGAGGGTCCCATATTTCAGGTTACTTGCCCATGAGGTCATGAAAGTAAATAGAGCTGGTTAAAACAAAACAAACCAAAAATACAGAACTGTTTTTCATTGAAAACTGCAAACTTGTCAAAATCAAAATGTTTCAAGAGAAAGTGTCAGTTCTGATGAGATTTTTAGAGAAAAAAAGGTCAGATGAATCTTTTTGACTTCCATATTATATTAATTTTATGAATAGTATATTAAAAGTATGAATGATATTGATACATGTTTTATGTATATAATTTGTATTAATACTAAACTTATTATTTGATACAATGATTCAACCATCTCAAGATGAAATCTTTTACCTTAACAAAAAGAACATGATTTAAATTTATCAAAACAAAAATTTCACTAGTTTAGAATACTTTTTTTAAAAAACAATTTTCCTTTTGAGGGAAATGTAAAATGTGTGACTTTTTGTTCCAATTGGGATGAAGACAAATTTTGAAATGATAGAATTTCCAACAGAATGGAAAATTTGGTTTCTGAACAGCTCTAAAAATTCATTGTGCCATTCAGTGAGTGCCTCTGTAACATCTGATGCTTGTTTTTTATCTGGTTGTCAAAGGGCTGGTCATCAATATAAACCAAGTTTCCTTTTATTTTCTTTCTTGTCTAATGTTATTGTGTTCTGTCAATATTTGTGTTACTTTGGTTTTCTAGGACTGCAAATGATACTTGGAATTACAATTCCTGTCACCTTGTGTCTGTGTTTGGTACTGTATCTAGTAATAAGGAAAGGTATGTACACAACTATATCTATTAGAAAGTAGATAAGACAAACTTAGAAGACATCCCCTTCCATAATGTTCTCGGACAAGGACAGGGAGCCAGGATAGAATCACTGGTAGACATTTGCATCACATTTCTTTTAGGGATAGGCCAAAATCAGAACCTCAAATGTGAATCCAGCTCAAATTCAGGGGTTTGGCTCTGGATCCTGTAACAATCTGGCAGTGTTTTCCAGAACATTCCAGGTGAAAATTCTGCTAGAAAACATTGAGTGTATCTCTGTAATTCAGTCAAGGGGAGCTTTTTATCCCACCTGACTAGAACAGAAGTGTGAGAGGCTTTATAAAGAGATGATCTAGGGTGCGAGCTGAGTGGTCCTTGTGGAGGAGTCTTGGGAGCAAACAAGCTTGGGTTGTGGCTTGGGTTGGGTTTTGTTTATCTCTTATGAATAAAGCTGAATGTCAGAAAGGGGTTCAATTCTGACCAGCTGTAATCTACATAAATAGGAACAATGAAGTGAACTAGCTTACTCACAAATTGCCAACTTGGAACCTGTCCTTACAGCTTTGATTTGAGTAACGGACCTAACCAGAAGGGCAATCTCCCTTTGATTTGTCCTGAGAGATCAGAAATTTCATAAGACCAAGTGCTTTTTTGAGATTTGTGCTATTTGAGGCCAATTTTTTGTGAGAATGACCAGTGACATTTTAGAACTGCAAAATCACAACATTGATGCCTGGTGTGACCTGAAACATGCACCCTTAGTCCTACCCTAAATCCAGTTCAAGTCACAACTCCAAACCCTTTCTCCTTACCCCATAACTAGTTTGCTTTATGCTCCCTTTTTTCTTTACTAATGTTGTGATGAGTCATTTAGAAGGTTTCACTAACATTTCTCTGTCTTTTCAGCTCCATGTCAATGTAAAAACCAAAGGTAAGAGGATACTACCTCAGAGTAGCTTTAGGAATATAAAATGCAGGACAATGTAGTACTTTAAAGACTAACAAGATGGTTTATTAGATGATGAGCTTTCGTGGGCCAGACCCACTTCCTCAGATCAAATAGTGGAAGAAAGTAGTCACAACCATATATACCAAAGGATACAATTTAAAAAAATGAACAAATATGAAAAGGACAAATCACATTGCAGAACAGGAGGGGGATGCAGGGGGGGGGGGAGGAAGGAAGGTAAGTGTCTGTGAATTGATGATATTAGAGGTAGGGAGAGTGGGATGTTTGTGAGTTAATGGTATTAGAGGTGATAATTGGGGAAACTATCTTGGTAATGGGTGAGATAGTTCAAATGTTTGTTGAGTCCTTTTTGGAAAGTGTCGAATTTTAACATGAATGACTATAGGAATATAGTATTTGACTTAGAATTATCCTGCCCTGAAGGAGGAAGATGCTACTGGGTACAAAAGCACTGAGGGTACAAAAGCACTGCAGGCTTTTGCTGGCAGAGTATGCAAATGAAGAGCTCATTAGCATTTATCATGCTGTCATTTGCATATCTCTGATTGTCAGGGATGGTACTTGGTCCTGCTGTGAAGGCAGGGGACTGGACTCAATGACCTTTCAAGGTCCCTTCCAGTTCTAGGAGATAAGCAATCTCCATTAATTTAATTTTTTAAAAAATTAATTGATGCTTTTTGCACAAGAGGATTTTTTGGCAAAACAAGCAGTATATATGGGTCCATTTTGTAAAAAAAAAAAACCTTTTGTGCAAGATGCCTCAAAAAAGTAGGTATACAGGATCTTGCACAAAAGGATTTTTTGTGCAAAACAGACCATCTACACTGCTTGTTTTTGCCCAAAAATCTCTTGCACAAAAATCATCGGCAGAGATATATATTCAAATGACAGCACAACAAATGCTAATGAGCACTTCATTAGCATACCCTCTGCCTGCAAGTTGCAATGTAGACATAGCCAGAGGGTCTGTTCTTTATTCTGCTGCTGGGTGATCATGGGTGAGAAATTTTCCTTCTCTGTGCCTCAGTTTCCCCATCAATATAGTGGGGGTTATGAGGTTGACATTCTTTGTAAAGCAAAATTTCTAGGGTTTCCAGATGATAGATGAGCCTAAAAACTGCCTGTGCCAGGCACTTTCAGTCCCACTGGTAATTCGGGGAGAAGGAAGCCCTGCATGCTGTGTCATGGTCCAGCTGGTACAAGGGATGACTCTGAAATTCAGTAGGAGACAACAAAGGAAGTGGAGTCACTTCCTGAGATTTTTTTTCACAATTTTAAATCTTCCACTGAAGATTTAAAAGATAAATAGGCCCAGACCTCAAAATTCAGATCTGGATCATCCTAAATTCTGGATTTGTTTGAGTCTAGACTCTTGCTTTGAGATGTGAAATAGATATGAGCTGTTTGTAAAACTGAGGTCCAGGCTTGGGTTTGGATTCCAGAGCCATCCTCCACCAAAAATCAGAGATGTTTGTGTGACCTACTGTAGACACATGGATATACACCTTGTAGTGCCGGTGGAGTACTCCTCTCCATTTAAGCTAGAGGAAAAACCATCACTAACGAGCTACTGTAATTGCTGTTACCAGCCAGGAGACAGAGACATAATCACATTTGCTAAGCCTGAACATCAGGTGGGTGGATGTGATGTTAGCCCAGAACTCTCTTGTTTTAACACAGTAAGTACAGGTGACTTTCCACACTCACTCACATCATATTTCTCTAATTTTCCATAGGGAGCAAAATGCAGAGGGGAGCACGGACAAAACTGCAGCTGGGAAGCTAGTTGGTATGAAGTTCAAGCCTATTATCATCTTACTTCTTTGAACTACGGATGGAATTTTCAAATACTTGAATTTGCAAAGCACAGGGTACATGAGGGCAGTGCATTAATTAATTCATAGGCCCAGGACACTGCAGTGCAGGGCCACTTTCTATTTGTATCCTGCTGACTGTGCCACCAATTTCCAGGCAGTGGCTCAGGCAGCAGGATCCTATTTAAATGGCTCCCAGCTCATAGTTGTGGCACTACCCTGGCAGGGGCCAGAGCTGCTAGCCTTTTAAATAGACACAGCAAAACCAAATGGCTGCCAGGCAACATGGTAGTGGCAGGGCCAGGAGCTGCGAGCCCTTTGCAGTGTTTTTACTTCAAAACCTTTGGCCCCAGACAACTCTGTGGTGAGGCTAGTCCCCAGCCCCGCCCCTTCTGCCCCAGGCCCCGCCCCTTCTGGGAGCCAGCCCATAATTACCCACCAAAATTAATTAAGTGGCCCCCTTGAGAAAATTATTGCCCAGCCTTGCTGTAGTATCAGCCTGCAGCATCAACTGACTTTCTCATCATCAACACATTTCTAACCACAGGCAGGAGGGTGAATATACACTGCAAGTCATGGTCTGATGCAAATGTAGGAGCAGGATCTGGAGGATGTATTTCTGCTGAAAAGCAGATGGTGCAGCAACCCATTACGTAGGCTTCTTCTCGTCCACTGCCATGAGCCATAGATCCATCCATTCCTAGACCAGAAGGGACCGCTGTGATCATCTGTTCAGATCTCCTGTGTGGCACAGGCCAGAGACAAGCCCTGAAGTAATTCCTAGGATCATGGGGGAGGGAATCAAATCTTGACTTTAAAATAGCCAGTGATGGAGAATTCACCACGACCCAAATCCAAATGCATAATCCCAGGTTCCATTTTTCTTGCAGTGGATGCCCTGGTAGTAAAGATCCCAAAGTGACCCCGATCACCTCTCTCATGTAAACACGTCGGCTACGTCTAGACTGGCCCCAAATTCCAGAAAAGGGATGCAAAGCAGGTAAGTCAGCATAGGGAAATCCGCGGGGGATTTAAATATCCCCCGCGGATTTAAATAAACATGTCCGCCGCTTTTTTTCCGGCTTGGGGAAAAGCCGGAAAAAAAGCGTCTAGACTGGCGCGATCCTCCGGAATAAAGCCCTTTTCCGGAGGATCTCTTATTCCTACTTGAAAGTCTAGATGCTTTTTTTCTGGCTTTTCCCCAAGCCGGAAAAAAAGCGGCGGACATGTTTATTTAAATCCGCGGGGGATATTTAAATCCCCCGCGGATTTTCCTATGCTGACTTACCTGCTTTGCATCCCTTTTCCGGAATTTGGGGCCAGTCTAGACGTAGCCGTCAAGTAGTAGATGAATGGCTATTTATTCCTCTCAGAGCGTAAAGGTCTGACAAGCCATTTTTAGAAATATCCCCATGCGGTCAGAACCCTTCATCATGACAGGGATTGAAGAGAGGTTTCAAATTCAGATGCTATGAGATCCCCCCCAAAATTATTAAAACTGGCCATAATTGTGGTATTTATGTTTCAGATGCCTCATCTGCTGGAGGTTCCCATTACACAGTAAGTAAAAAGAGACAACAAAGAGTGGGAATAGCATAGATGTCTACAGAATGATAAACAAAAGCTCAAAAGCGGCGAGTCGTCCTGTGGCATCTTATAGACTAACTGAAGTGTTGGAGCATAAGCTTTTGTGGGCAAAGACCCACTTCATCAGATGCACGAAAGCGTATGCTCCAACACTTCAGTTAGTCTATAAGATGCCACAGGACGACTCGCCGCTTTTGCAGATTCAGACTAACATGGCTACCCCTCTGATAGAATGATAAACAGTAAAGGATAAAAAGAACAGAGAAGTGTTATGCACCCTTCAATACAATATAAAAACTGGAGATCACCCAACAAAATCCATAGGCAGCAGAATAAATACAAAGAGTCAAAGTGCTTTTTTCACACAACTAACCTGTGGAACTCATTGCCATGGGATGTGGTGGTGGCCAAAAATAGAACTGGATTAAAAAAAATCTTCATAAATTCATGCAGGGCAGGTCCATCAGTGGCTATTAAGAAGATAAGAACAGTCATACTTGGTCAGACCAATTATCTATCTAGCTCAGTCTCTTATCATTTGTACAGTGGCCAGTGCTGGGAGCTGAAGAGGGAATGAACAGGACAAGGCAAGCCTCCGGCAGTCAGAGGTTTAGGCACACCGGGGCAGACCCTGGTCACATAGGAAGTCTGTGGATTTAACCTACCAGTGACATGGGTCACCATCTGTGCAGCTTGAAAGCCAAACCCCAAAACTTGATGGCCCTTGCCAGCACCCCAAAGACTGCCTTTGCCAAATTTCCTGAATGTTCTGGAATATGAAGTCAATTTGTAATTGACAACAATAGTGTATCAGCGTTCTGCCAAGCACAGAAAGGAATGCCAAACATGCACTGGGCAGATACGATTTGCCCCGCAGTCCTGTACAATCAGTGTGTTATTTATTAGACCAGTTTGGAAAGTTGTGTTTATCAATGATGAATTATGTTTGGTCTCTTTGCGGGATTGCTGCGGTCTATCATGAAATCTCAGTTTTCTCAGAAAGATGCCAGCCCCTTTGCTTTGTGTTAATATTCACACTTTTTATTTCCAGGGATCCAAAGGCAAAGAGAAGAATACACAGGACTATGAATCACTAAACATCAGAGCCTTGGAGATCACTCCTTATTCTACCCTCCATCTGGAACAGAAGAGAAAACCAGCTGCCTCTGCATCTCAGCTCAGTAAGTAACCCACAGCGCATCACACTGAAACCCTAGACTGGGATCATCGAAGGAGCATAAGGCTCAGAGGCCCAGGTGTTTACAACTATTTAGCTGCTGATTTCAGAACCTTCATCTTCACAAAGGTTTTAGGCCCTGAAGAGTCGAAGTTCCACCAGGAATGGCTTTAACTACTGAAGACTCTTTACAATTCCAGCTGGGTCATTTGCACTGAGGATAATCTTGTCTCCCAGCCTGACTCACTTTGTCCTGTCATTAGTGACATTGGACCATGTCTAGTTATTCCTGCCAAAGGGACACCGAGAGTGAATCAGCCTAGAGCCATTGACTCCAGGGAAGCAGGGCTGATATACACCATAGAATCGTAGAATCCCAGGGCTGGAAGAGACCTCAGGAGGTCGTTGAGTCCAACCCCCTGCCGAAAGCAGGACCATCTGTGGATCTGACCCATTGATTCCAATGGAGCGACACCAGTTTACACCAGCAGGAGACCGGGGCCTATACATTTGCTTTATCTGAATTTTCTGAAATACCACTTGGCTGAAACTCCCTTTCTCCCATCCCCCACCCCGTTTCCCTGCACCACAGTCCAACACGTCGCTGCCAGCAGTGGGGTTTAGCTTGTCTTGTTTGATGCTGGAATTATCAGGGTAGTTCTGTGATAGCACATCTCTGTGTGCCATGCCCAGGCAGGGAAGGGATGAGATCTAAAGCATCCCTGACTCTGCTGTGTGTTCTCCCAGCATCCCCTGGACAGAGCAGCTGCTACTTTTCCTCCTGCATGGAGGTCTGTCCAGGAAATGGGCAAGGCATAGTCCAGGAGTTGGTGGAGCCATCTCCTTGGCTCACCGCCCCCACCCCCGGCCAGCACAGCTGAGGCAGCACACATGGGGAAGTACCCTACCCCGGCAACCACAGATTACTTCCCTGAAGCGGGGGGAAACCCACAAAGCAGCATGTGTTAGCGGGGGAATGGTCCCGCTATTGTGGAGAACTTTCCTGGCTTCTATACACCCCGGTGAAATGAACCAGCGAAAGGATCTGAGTCCCCGCTCCCACTTCCTTTACCCCATGGCTCCCTGATCCTGAGGGCTCCCCCTCCACTCTCCTGAGTAGCAGAGCCCTTGAAACCCCAACAAGGCTGGGCCCAGGTTTCCTGGGGCTTAATCCCCGACCTTGTAGTCACTAGGGGCAGGAGTTAGGGTGTCCCCACTCCGAGGTGCTCTCTTTACACTGCAGGCCTTCTTGGCCCAGTGATCACTTCATAAGGTTCAAAGCAAATACAATTTATTAAACAACAACGGATTAAAGAGAAAAGAATAAGAAAAAAATGAGAATGGTTAAATGAGAACACACAGCTCTGCTCTGTAGCACAGGGACATCAAAACAGCAGTCTGCAGGGTGTAAGGACAGTCCACAGTCTCTTTCTTAGAGGCCCTGGATATGCTGCAGGGGGAGCTACAGGCTGGACACGCTAGCTCTGGTAGTGACCACACAGTCTCAAGCTCGAAGTGGCCAGCCCCCTCTCCCAGTCCATAGCCTTTCCCCACACTTTGCTGGTCCCAGGTGCTCACCACATCCAGCTGCAGGCTGTGCTGCTTGGCCAGTTCCAGCTCCTTGTGTTGCTTCTCTGTTCCTTTTTGCTCTCTGAGCCCTGCCAGTCTGCTGCTCAACACAGGGTCTGCTCTCCTTGAATTGTGTATGCCTGGCTCTGCTACTGCAAAAACTGCCCCTCAGCACAGCTTGCACTCCTCTTAGCAGTGTCTCAGCTCTCTGTTCCTTTTGCAGGACTTCTTCATACAGCTTGCACTGCTCTTTTCAGCTCTCTGTCTTTGCAGGACCTCTTCTGCACACAGCTTGTTTGTTCAGAGACAGAGCCAGAACAATCCCAGCTCACAGGGAGGACGGGGCCTGGCCTCTCCCCTTCCTCACTGGCCTGTCCAACCTGTCAATCAGGCTGAGCTGGAGTGTTGGCTGCTTTCCATTGTCTCTGGGGTCAGTCAGTCTAATGAACTCTTCCCCTTCAGGTACTGCGAGCTGGCAAACCAAAAACTCCCACAGTTTTAGTAAGGGGTAACAGTCCCCTTACACATGCACCCTGTGCTGAGGGTTTGTGGCAAAGCCACAATGTCTTTGTTTTTAGAGCCATCTCTTCTGCTTTTGTTCTCCCCCTTGCAGTGGCTGTGGCTGGTCTGAAATTAACCTTCTGCTCAGAAAAGCGACTGCTGGGAAATTCTCAGCCTGGCGCCTGCACCCAGATCCTGCCTTTGCTCTGCTGAGGCTGTCCAAATGGGTCAGAATAGAGGCAGAGAATCAGCCCATGTCATCTTTGTCTAGGATGTGGCAAAAGTGGCGTGTGACTCCCTTAACAACCTTACAATAAAGATACTCCCAGGCACAGGGAGTTTTAGGTGGAGCTGTGCTGAGAGTCTAATCAGCAAGTCTCTCTCCTTCCACCTATCCAGAGCAGGGTTAGTGAAATCAGTGTTTATCCAGGAACAAATGAGGGTAGTGTCATTAAAAACCACCCCCACTTAAATGCAGAGTTTGAAAACAAGAAGTCAAAGCATTCAACCAACCTCTTAATTCACCAGCCACTAGCCTTTCCATGCTGATTCCTTTCACACCATACATAGTGAGATGTTTTGGTTCTGAATCAAGGCTTCTTTTAAGGGCTTTACAAACCCCACAGCCTAGGGGTTCACAATAGGTTTAAGAATCAAATAAAGGATCAGCTTTTTGTTTTTGTTTTAAAGAGCCCCTGTGTGATTTGGGAGGTAAACGCCCCTGGCAAGTGAATGGGACTTGAACACTTAAAAATCTGAACCTTTGTGATTCTGAATCTAGCTAAAATAAGACTTGATGTATGAACAAACAGCCTTGTCTGTATTTACAGCACAAAGTTGGCATTGCTTTAATTATTATTGAGGAAACTTTCCATTGAAATACTGAAAAAAAACTTTAGAAATGTATTGTGCCCTTTATGTCTGCTGAAAAGCATGGCCCTGCTCCTGTACATTGTAGGAACTGAATAGATTTGTGAAGCTGTGTACTTACAGGTACAATGGTGAATTGCATTGTTTACAAACACCACGTTCTTTTCCAGATGCTTCATCTGCTGGATGTTTGCAGAAGAAGGTAAGTGCATAAGAACATCCAGACTGTCTCAGACCAATGGTCCATCAAACCGGCTGTGTCTACACTGGCATGAATTTCCGGAACTGCTTAAAATGGAATACTATTCTGTTTTCAGTTTTTCCAGAAAAGGAGCGTCTACATTGGCAGGCTGCTTTTCCAGAAAAGCCCTTTTTCCGGAAAAGCGTCTGTGGCCAATGTAGACGCGCTTTTCCGGAAAAGAGCCCCAATCGCCATTTTCGCGATCGGGGCTTTTTTCCGGAAAAGACTACTGGGCTGTCTACACTAGCCCTTTTCCGGAACAGTGTTCCGGAATAAGGACTTATGCCCGAGCGGGAGCAGAATAGTTTTTCCAGAATAGCAGCTGATTTTGTACAGTAGAGCATCATTGCTTTTCCGGAAATTCAAGGGCCAGTGTAGACAGCTCGCAGCTTATTCCGGAAAAGCGGCTGATTTTCCGGAATAAGTGGCCCAGTGTAGACACAGCCACCCAGTATCCATCTATGACCATCTCTATTAATAGCCATTGATGGACTTATTCTCCACTATCTTATCTAACTCTTTTTTAGCCCAGTTATAATTTTTGCCTTCACAACATCTCTCAGCATTGAGTTCCAGAGATTTACTGGACATTGTAAAAAGAAATGTTTCTTTGTATTTGTTTTAAACTTCCTGCTTATGAATTTAATCAATTCTCATATTGCGTGAAGAGGTAAACAACACTTCTTTGTTCACTTTTCCACACCATTCATGATTTTATAGACCTCATTCATGATTTTATAGACCAAGTTGAACAGTTCCAGTCTTTATAATCTCACCGTATATGGAAGCTGTTCCATACTCCTCTTCACTTCCATGATCCAGGAATTTTTGACAATACTTTTGATAATCTGTGCCTGATCCTCCTCATGGCCCATGAAAGGCCCTGTCTCCATGTGTTTCTCTTACTTCTTGCTTAGAGCATTTCTAATGTTGGGATGAGGAGGAGCTACTGGGGATATTTGCATTTATGTAATAATTAAAATCTACTTGATTAAAGGACTTGACCCAATAGTGCTACCCATCTTATACAACGTTGAGGAGTTTTGAACCTAACATAGCTCCAGTCCTTTGTTTAGAAGGACTTTTCTGTTGTGTGTTTGTACAGCACCTAGCACCACACAATGCAATGGGTGACTTTGTAGTGAGTGGTCTTTAGAAAAGGGGTTTCCTACCCATATTCCTTCAAGTCAGGAAGAGACCGTTCCTGGCTCAGGGAGGGGAGTGCAGGATTGACTAGAAATTGGACTCCTGGGCTCTGTCTCTTGCTCTGATTGGTGGCTGTGATCCTGGGGCTCACACAATGTGGGTGGGAAATCGGAACTGTCCTGGTACTTGCCTCAGCGCTGGAAGGAAATGTGGTTAGAGCAGAAGTCAAGATCATGAGGATTAATTAGCTGCATCGCCTGGGAAGTACCACAAGTGTTAAAAGTGTCTCTACCAATGACCAGGCTGGTGAAGTTGCATGAATTATTATAAATATCCAAAGTCCTGCTTGGCTGTGTCTCTAACCATCAGCCTTCAAACTGGTTCCCAGAAATAGAGCAACCCCAATTGTTCTCTGTTAATGCATGTGTTCTATTTAAAGGAACCAGCAGACAACGAGCTGGCAGGTGAGGGGTATGAAATGCTAAACTCCGAATCAGTGCAGAACGCGCTTTATTCTACACTTCATGACACACAGTGAGAGGCCACTATCCTGTCTCCATCTGGGCTTGGTAAGTGAGTCATTCCCCTTTGGAATTAAACTTGATCAGGAAATCCTATGGATGCCTCAGCTTCATCTAGGCTGAAATCCCCCCTCTGGGTCAAACCTTGAGATACTGAGTTTTGCTGATATCAGGGCAGGGAAGGGGAGCAGCAGCAAGGTGGGCATTTGAGGGGAAGAGGATTATTTCAGTTGTAGTCAGCTCTGTCACACTCCTGACCAATTCTCCTAAACTCCAGAAAATCTCCTTCCAGACATGTGGGTTACAGCCCAACAATCCCCAGTGCATGTGGTTGTAACCATACTAGTCCCTGCCTGGCACCTTGTCTAATTACTTACAGCCCATGCAAAGGGGGCATACGATGTAGAGAAACATTCCCCATGGAAAGCAAATGTAGGACAGGACATCTCCTGTTGGAAAGATTCTGCAGCCAGTTCATATTGTTTTGCCACAAAATTTGTCAGAAAATGGAGGGGGAAATCAGAATTTTTTTTCTTCTTTTATGACAAATGTTGCCATTATTGTTAAAATTGAGTCTTTTTTCATTTGTTCGATTTTAAGTTAAAACCATGATTTTTCCACAGTGAAAAAAACCCCATTTCCCAGTATGTGATAGGTAAGTGTAAGGCAGAGCAGCCCTCAGGCTACTTTGATCTATGCCTGTTAAGGATCCACAGGGTCTGTGTGAGACCCCAGTTTTTAAACAGTCCCTTGAAGGAATCCCTTCAGTGTTCCAGACCTCCAAAAAGTCACACTTCTCCTTTAGCATAGGCCCCACAGACTTACTGCCTGGGAGACTGCCCCTTGGGCCTAGAAGGGCCCAAATCAGGAAGCAGAAATGATACCATGTGACTTATTGTTCCAATTAGGATGAATCAATATAGCTGATATTTCAAATATCTGAATGAAATAAGTCATTCCTCTGTTTTAATGTCTCTTGTAACCCTCCATACTCAGGCTGTGATCTGAATGTCTAGCCAGTGCCCCTCTAATTGATCTTTCACCACCAGAAATAAAGTGCCCGAGATACCGTCCAGGCTTCATTATGAGATGCTAAATGCAGCTGTTATTGTGTTACCTGATTCCGTTTTTTCCCTCCACAAATCAACATGCCCTTACAGGAAGAGTTTGGAAGACAAGTGTTTAAAAGGTTGAGTTCAGCACGTTGGGCTCCCACATCACAGGAAAGAGGACACAAAGATAATGAAGAAATTTTTAGAAACTTGGAAATACACAGAACAACAGAACTTGTCCGTTTGTTGATTGAATGGAGAATTAAGGAGTGACATAGATCTAACCAGTCTAATTTCTTAAATGGTGGTGAGATTCCAGACTCATGTGGAAAGGACATGTTGGTTCATATGCATAGAAGACGTACTTTCAAAAAAAAGAATGGTATGTATATATGGTGTGTAGCACATATAAAGAGAACTATCAATGTATTTGAAATAATGTTAATACAAGATGTAAAACTTAAAATCTCCAAGTTGATACTACAGATGTCTTTGCTTCATAGACTAATAGGAATTTCCAGACTAAGTCAGACCAGAGACTAGATATGGTTGAAAAAACATTTCCTACCACAAAACAATTTCAAACAAAAATGTTCAGTTGAAATGTTTCACTGGAAATTTTCAGAATTAAAAAAAATAAAAATTCCTTTTCATGTCAAAGAAATATTTGTTTCAATTCATCTTGAGTCATTTAAAAAAAT